GAAGAAATGACACAGCATCTAACTCCGTACAATCCCCCCTCCCATTTTCCCACAACAGAAAAGGCATAGTAGAAAAATAGAAAGTGTGGCAGGCCAAAGATCCATAAAGAATATGGCTGCAGGCCTGGCAGTGTCATTTCTTCAGTGTTGTCACATGAAAAGATAGACTTAAATATTTACAAAATCTGAGGGGGGTGTACTCACTTCTGTGATATCCTCTCTATATAAAACCACATGTTATTACAGAACAAGAGAAAGAATATCTCTTAAATGTGTGTGTTTGTGTGAAAGCTTCCTGGTTTTCCCCACCCAGTTCAAGATCTTGCTCCCACACCCACAAATCCATCCCATGGTCTAATCTCCCACTGCCATGCTGGCAGTTCCACCCAACCAGTTCCGGTCAGGTGCAGAGACAAAGGATGACCTTGACTTTCTAAGAAGAATGTCGTTATGGTTACACATCATCCAACTCTATATAATCCCCCCTCCCATTTTCCCACAGTAGAAAGTGTGGCCGGCCTGAAGTCCAAAAGGAAAAGATGGCTTGCAGGTCCTGACAGGCACCAGGTCTTATTTTCGGGGGAGGTTGTCCACTGGGTCACCTCACTTGCGAGCGTCTTTGTTGTCAAGAGGCCTTCAGGAACTTCTTTTGCAACTGGCAAGGCTTTCCTGAAGGCCTCTGCAGCCGATAACAGAGCTCCAGATCAGTGGTGGGTTGCAGGCAGTACGCTCGGTATGGTGTACCGGAGTCTGGCCGGAGCACCGGATACTGTTCCGGTACGGTGCTCTGGAGGGCCCACCCACTCGCCCGCCTGAGCTTCTTACCGGTCTTTTAAGGCTTTGCGCACGGCACATACAACGCCTGCGCAATGCTCCACTGAGCAGCTGGAGCGTCATGAAGGTGGCGAAGACGCATGCCCGCGTTCATGTGGATGCCGCCAGGCCCGTCCCAACCGTACCGGTTGGAACAGGATCCGGAACCCACCACTGCTCCAGATCGATCCGGAGCTCTGTTATTGGCTGCAGAGGCCTTTAGGAAGGCCTTGCTGGCTGCAGAAGAAATGGGCCAGCAAGGCAGGTGTTGGGGGGTGAGAGCCCTGGCTGCAACTGTCCCAAGATAAGTAGTAAGGTAGCTCCAAAGCCACCCACCCCCAAATTCCCCACCCTATCTTAATTTTTAATCCGTGCTTCCCAGAATTGGTAGGGGTCTTAATTAGGGCTCATTTTGAGTGTAAAAGTCCCACTAGGACTTATTTAGTGATTTTTTAGTGATTTTATTAGAATTTATAGGCCGCCCTTTTCCCTGAGGGGNGTAAGCCGCCCTGAGTCCCCGTGGGGAAAAGGGCGGCCTATAAATATTAATAAAATACCTAAAAAAAAAAAAAAATCCAATGGGGGAAGCTGGGTTTGATTAACGACCGCATGATTCACTTAACAACTGCAGTGATTTGCTTAATAACCATGCACAGTCAATGGGGGAAGCTGGGTTTGATTAACAACTATGTAACTCGCTTAAGAACCGCAGCGATTTGCTTCCCAACCGGGGCAAAAAAAAAGGTCATAAAATCAGTTGTGCTTCACTTAACAACCACATTACTGAACAATGGAAATTCGGGTCCCAATTTTGGTTGTAAGTCGAGGACGATCTGTCCTGCTTTCGTGCCATAGTAGAACGTTAGCATTGAATTGGGCATTGGGTCCTATGCACATCCTTGGCCCAGGACGCTCTGCTTTAAACGCAGAACCTGTTGTGATTGTGAAGAATAACTTTGGAAACACACACTAGATGTTTGTGTCTTTAGGTTGTGTCCTAATGGAACGCATTTGCTTTGTTTTCTGTCTTTGGGGGACAGGGATGCCTTTTAACCAACTTGGGACCCTGGCTGGGAGTAAATACTACAATGTAGAAGCTACCTATTGCTACTTGCGCTGGTAAGTGTAATAATTTATAAAAGGCAACTGCCCTTATTTTATTAGTCTAAAAAGAAAGAAGAATAGGGGGGGGGGACATGATAGCAGTCTTCCAGTATTTGAGGGGTCAGGTCCAGAGATGCGAAGACAAAAGATGACCTTGGCTTTCTAGAAAGGAATGTTGTTATGGCTGCATAGCATCTCACTCTATACAATCCCACCTCCCATTTTCCCACCATAGAAAATGCATAGTAGAATAATAGAAAGTGCAGCAAGCCAAAGATCCAAACGAAAAGATGGCTGCAGGTCTGATGGAGGGAGGGGGAAGGAAGAGAGGAAAGGGAAAAGAAAGAGACAGGTTTGAGGAAGGAAGGGACGGAGGGAAGAAGTAGAGGAAGGAAAGGGAGGGAGAGAGAGGGAAAGAAGGAAGGAAGGGGGGAAAGAAGGAAGAAAAGGGAGGGAAGGAAGGAAGGGGAGGGAAGGAGAGAGGAAGGAAGGGGGGGAGCAAGGAAAAGAGAAAGGGAGAGAGAAAGGAAAGAAGGGGACGAGGGAAGGAAGTAAAGGAGGGAGGGAAGAAGATGTCTTCCTTGAATAAATTGACCGCAGCAGCTGATTTATTCTGACCTTTAATTCTGTGTTAAACATCTTGCCAGGGACAAAGTCTTTTAAAAAAAAATTAAATCTGAGAGTCCAATTGAGGCAATAATTCTGCTCCCGGGGCTCCCTTCTCTTTAGCATCCAGTCGGAAGTGTCCTTCGAAGGCGCCTACGGGAACCTCAAGCGCCTCTACGACAAGGCGGCCAAAATGTATCACCAGCTGAAGAAAAGCGAGAACCGGAAGTTGTCCTCAAGCAAAAAAAGGTGAGAAGGCAGCCCCCCCCCCTCCCCGGAGGCCCTCAAGGATGACTCGCCATCTTGGCAGCGTTCAGAGGCGGACACAAACTGGATATGGCCAGTCAGTAATCAGATGGGCAGCTTCCGCTGTAGTTGGGCCCTGAAGACGGTTGATCCAGCCTATTTAAACCTGCCATTCTTTAACTCACTTCCATGGCTGAAGACATTGCTGGAGGGTGGTGGCGGTGGGGTGGAGGGGTTTTGCAGTGGTTTTCAAGCTTGACTACTCTTAAGATGGGTGGACTTCAATTCCCAGAATTCCCCAGCCAGCCATGGGAATTCTGGGAGTTGAAGTCCACCCATCTTAAAGTTGCCACGGATGGACAAATAGGTGTTTTGGTTTTTTTCCAAGAGGCAAATGGACTTTTCTTGTTTTTCTTTTGAAGATGTTTCGCTTCTCATCCAAGAAGCTTCTTCAGCTCTGAGAAGCGAAATGTCTTCAAAGAAAAACCACTCCCTCTTGAAAAAAGCATCTTTGGGTCTTGGGGAAAAAAAGAACCCAAATTTGAAACACACTTGCTTTAGAGCTTAAAGTGAAACCCATCCAGCTTACCCACTTGGCTTGTGCTGACAATTTGCAGAAAATTCACCTGGCTCAATGATAGTGGGAAGTGAGGAGAAGGGCTCCTTTGAACCGACTTAAAATTGTTTCTGTTTTATATCCTTGTTCCGGCTAATGCTAAACCATAAATTTATACAAGGAAGCCCTGGAGGGGGCAGTGAGATTAGACTTGCTTCGGGCAGCCGAAGTTTCGCTCCAAGAAAACCAGCTTATTTGGCAGAAAACAGTCCTCGTATGTGCAGAGATGTACAGTTAGTCCTCATAGTTCATTTAGTGACTGTTCAAAGTTACCACAGAGACTTAGGATCATTTTTTCACCCTTAACGGCCGTTGCAGCATTCCCACAGTCACCAGATGAAAATTCAGACAACTTCACAACTGGTTCATATTTATCTCCTTCGACGATCTTCTGACAAGCAAATTCAATAGGGAAGCCAGATTTATTTAACAACCCAACCACTATTTGCATAACTGCAGGGATTCACTTAACTACTGGGTCAAGAAGGTCATAAAATGGGGCAAAATTCACCAAGATTTCTCTCCAGTCATTTTTTTTCCTTGCCAGAAGCAATTAAACGAATGAAAAATTCACGCAGTTGGTTTGACTCGTATCAAAACCTACTAAATGCTACCCCCCCTTTTTTTTCCTTCCCCACCCCCCAATTTGGCAGTTGCAAAGACATTTTTTAAATGCTTTATTTATTTTATTTATATAACATTCAATTTTCATCGAACTGTGTGTGACCTGGGTACTGTTATTTTTAAACAATCATAATCACATTTGCTGCAATATTCATCACAGTAATATTGATAATATAATATAACAATAATACTTAATATCTTCTTTAACAACTCCACATTAATATTTTCTCTTTTTATATCTCCTCCTTTCTTCTGTTTCTATTGCCATTGATAAAATACATTCCATATTAAAAAAAATATTCAGTTTCTTCTTTATCCTTAAAAGTGAGTGTTAATCTGTCCATTTCCGCGCATTCTAATATTTTCTTTTCTCACTAGTCATATCTATTCAACACATACCATAAACATATAAAACATTCTTTTAAAAAAAACATTTATTGGTTCAGTTGAAAACAAATCAGAATCGGAGCTTCTGGAAAAACCAGTTGTTTTTGCCTGTCTTGTATCTTTTTCCAAATTTCATTTTAGCCTCTCACCGCGATCTCTAAATACCTCCTTGTTGACAATGGTTTTGTCCAGGGGAATATCAACAGAGTACCTGGTTGGCATCAAGTGGTTGTAATTGTAAACTTTAACAAAGGACTTGATTTTGGACCTTTTAGCAATCTTCTTCTTTGCCCATACTGGCTGTTACTTTGCGTGGGTGACAATTGAGACCTGCCACCAAGGCATGGCTGTATGTTCTTAACAATAACAGCTTTGCGTCCAGAATAGCATCCAGCCAAAACAAGAACGACCTTCCCAGGTTTCATAAACTTGCCCATCTCGAAGGTATTTCGCCTAAAAGATGAAAACATTCTTATAAAGGTGACAATAATTTTCCATTTAACCTCAATAGTAGAAGGCAAGGAGTTTTTTAAGCAATAAATGCAACAAAAAAAAATAACTTTTACAATCTTAACCCATTTTGCCAGCTGGAGTCATAGAAATGTGTTGTCATTTGAATTGAATCAGACACACACACATCATATGTGCGTGCATTTTTTTAAAGCCAGAAAACCCCAAAGCACAATGGATATGCTTCAATGTTGACTGAAGACAACAATCAAAAGGTCTTTATGGGAAAACACATTTTCCTTTAGCAAACATAGCATAGCTCCAAAAGCAATTGGCACAATACAGAAACACTTTAGAACCAGTCACATGTTAACATTATTATACATTTGGCTTAAATTATGACTAGTCCCACTATAAAAATAACTGGGGGACTCTCTTGTAAATAACTCACATGTTTTCTTAATTACATTCTCCAGGTGCAAAGACATTAAAAGGTTACTCGTCAGCTTCATGTATTTACAGAGCCTCTTTCAGCCAAAGAGTAGGTAAGTCTCTCCTGTGAAACCCCCTATTTAAGAAAAGTTTCAATGGTGGCCTTCCTTAGTGGGAACACTAGGGCTGGTCTGCTCCGGAGGAGGCTTCTGTGCCCCTGCATGGCTAACAGCTGTCACCGTAATAGCAATAGCACTTAGACTTAAATACCTCTTCGCAGTGCTTCACGGCTCTCTCTAAGCAGTTTACAGCCTCTTGCCCCCAACAATTGAGTCCTCATTTTACCCACCTCGGAAGGACGGAAGGCTGAGTCAACCTCGAGCCGGTCAGGATCGAACTCCTGACTTGGCAGAGTTTGCTTGCAATTCTGTGTTCTAACCGGAAGGAAGGGGGAGGGAGGGCAATAGCAGTAGCCCTTAGACTTATATCCCGTTTCACAGTGCTTTCCAACCCTCTCTAAACAGTTTACAGAGTCAGCCTCTTGCCCCCAACCATCTGGGTTCTCATTTGACCCACCTCAGAAGGATCGAAGGCTGAGTCAACCTTGAGTCTGGTGAGATTTGAACTGCCAAATTGCAGACAGCTGGCAATCAGCAGAAGTAGCCCTGCAGTACTGCACTCTAACCACTGCGCCACTCAGTAAATTAGATGCCATATGCTATTAATGATATCCTGTGTCAGACCTGCCCCAGTCTGATCCCTTGGGAAGAAAAACTTCCATTTGGTTTTAGCGANGCTCACACAGCAAATTTCAGAGTCCAAATAGCCCTCATTGGCTGACTTAGTTGCTACGCCTATTCCTTGGTTGATCTTGTTACCATGTCCTATTGCAGCCACTCTCCAATGGCTGATCTGTTGCCATGTCCTATTCCAGTTCATGAATATTCTGACAGAGCATTCACAACTTCTGGTGACAACTTCTGTTCCACGGGTTAATTGTTCTCACTGCCAGGAAGTTTCTCCTCAGCTCTAAGGTTGCTTCTCTCCTTGATTAGTTTCCTTTTGGGAAGGCCAAGAGGGCAGGGTGGGCCTCACTCCGAGGGACGGGATGTTCCAGAGGGAGGACACCAGGGCAGAAAAAGCTCTTCTCCCTGGAGCCCTCGGGCCAGAGTCCTTGACCAACAGGGTCCGTAGCTGGTCCCTTCCGCCAGAATGATTGATGGCTCAGTTGGTGGGGGGAGGGGGGCAAGGTCCATTGTGTCTCTGGGGTTTTGAGCTGCAGCTGCCTTTGGCTCTCCTTGCAGAGGGCCCCGAGGCCCAGGAGACGGCAAACTCAGTCGAGAGAGAAACGGAGGCTGACCCGGCCGGCCACCGGGCCCCGGGGGAGCCACGGCAGAACGACAGCCAAAAGGGCAAGAAGTACTCCCGCCTCTCTTGCCTGCGCCGTCGCCGCCGGGCCCAGAAGCTGGACGAGAGCGACCTGAGCGAGGGCTTCGACTCGGATTCCAGCCCGGAGTCCACCAAAGCCAGTGGCGCTTCGGAGACAGGCTCCGAGAAGAGCGATGAGGAAGCCGAGGCGGCCTTTGACATGGAGACCGATTCCGACATGAACAGCCAGGAGTCCCGCTCGGATCTGGAGGACATGGAGGAGGAGGAGGCTGAGGCAGAGACCAAAGGGGGAGGCGGGGGCGGCCAGCCTCCAGGTGTCAAGAACGGGACCAGGGGAGTCCCGGAATTTGTGGCAAGCGAAGGGGGTCGGCCGCAGGACTTGAAGACTCCCGGCCTGCCCAAGATTGACCCTCCGGAGCCTGTGGCCAATGGGCCAGGCTCCTTGGGCGGCAGCGAGGCCAGCATCGCCAGCAACCTGCAGGCCATGTCCACGCAGCTCTTCCAGACCAAGCGGTGCTTCCGGCTGGCCCCCACCTTCAGCAACGTCCTTCTCAAGCCGGGCTGTGGGCCACCCGCCCCGAAGGAGGCGGCAGGAGATGGCAAGCCGTGCGTCAATGGGGACGTGGAGAGGTCCATTGCACCTGAGCCAGGTGAGCTGCAAAGAGTTGGTTGGGGAAGAGAGAGACGGAGGGGCAGGGAAAGAAAAGGGAAAGCTGGGTGTCCTCCCCCCCTTCCAGCTTTCGAATGTTTGCAGATTGTGTCAGCACAGGGAAGTCACCTGTTATCTGCTACATTTCCCATGGGCTCTATCTCCATTTTCGCTGATATTTTACGCTGTCCCGGGTCAGGTTGGTGTCGGGAGTCAGCACCCGGCCCAGCACCCCAACTGCAGAGGTAGCTGGTGAAGCATTTTAAGGGACATTCGGGGTAATGTCAGGGTTCCCCATAACATCCAAAATTAAATTAGATTCCAAGACAAAGGATTCCTCAAAGTTCCAATTTATCAAGAGAGACATGTTGGCACATCTGGGAAAACCCGAATCTGAAAGCTTCCCGGTTGTCCCCACCCAGTTGAAAGTTCACGATCTTGCCCCCCACACCCAAAAGTCCATCCCATGGTCCATGTTGGCAGTTACACACATGCATTTCCGGTCAGGTGCAGAGCTGCAGAGACAAAGGATGACCTTGGCTTTCTAGAAAGAATGTTGTTATGGCTACATATCATCTAACTCCATATGATGCCCTCTTCCGTTTTCTCACCCTAGAAAAGGCATAGTAGAATAATAGAAAGTGTGGCAGGCTAAAGACCCAAAAGTAAAGATGGCTGCAGGCCTGACCCTGGGTTTATCTGCCTCTCGGGCTGAAAATTCTCAGTATCGGTCCATTATAAAATTCGGCACAAATCTCTAAGACAGTGACGGCGAACCTTTTCAGCACCGGAAAACCGGAATCTGCGGTCATGCGCCTGCCAGCTGGTCTCCGCATCGCTGGAGCACCGGAAACCCGAAGAGTAGCTGGCTGGCGTGCATATGCCTGTTTTTGCTGTTTTCTGGCCGTTTTGGGGGGGCGTTTTGGGGCCGTTTTCCGACTCTCCAGTGCCCACAAAGAGACCAGCTGGTGACAGTGCGCATACTCACAGAGAGGGCTCTGTGTGTCACCTCTGGCACCTGTGCCATAGTTTTGCCATCAGGTGTCTTAAGACATCTGTAAATGGATGGGTGTCTCTGACAGGAACTAGTCCTCGATTTACAACGCTTCGTTCAGTGACGACAGCGTTGAGAAAAGTGACTTGCTGCCGTTTTTCACCCTTACCATCTTTGCAGCTTCCCCATGGTCACCTGATCCAAATTCAAATGCCTGGGGACTGACTCACATTTATGACTGTTGTTACGTCCCAGGTCATGTGATTTTCCCTGTTGCGACCACCTGACAAGCAACGGGGAAACCAGATCCACTTCGTGTGGCTAACATAACTGCAGCGATTCACTTAACAACCATCGTAAAATGGGGCTAAACTCTGTTAACAAATGCCTCACTTATAGCAACAGAAATTTTGGGCTTGATAACGGCCATAAATTGAGGACTGCCTGCATTTGGCTTCTGATCCCATAATCCAGTGAGGGTGAACCTTTTCGGCACAGTCGCATGGAAATGTCCCGTGCGCATGTGCGCAAGGCCATGCTCCAGAAAAGCCAAACTTCCGGGTTCTAACATGCAGTTTTCGGCACTCCCCTATGCGCGCAAAGGACAGCTAATCGTCGCGCGCTAGAAACCCGGAAGACAAAATGGCAAGGCTGCATGCTCCGGGAGACATGGCTTCATGCGCCACTTTGGGCACGCATTCCACAGGTTCGCCATCGCGGCCATGATCCCTTGGCTGCACACTCCCTGCCATGGAAGGGGGTTGTCCCGCTCTTTTCCAATCCTGCCGTCCTTTGCCCCTTGCTGAGTTCTCCGACCTCTTGAGGGTTTTAACAATCGGTGGTCTTTCCCTGTTCTGAGACGATGTTTCCGAGTCGGAAGAGAGCATCTCCAGCAGCCGATCCTGCCGGAACGAGCGCTCGCTCCAAGAGAAGCTGGAAATTATAAGTGGCGAAGGGTTGCTGCCGACGGTCAAGGTGTTCCTGGACTGGCTGAGGACAAACACCGACCTCATCATCATGTGCGCGCAGGTGAGTGGCTCTCGGCTCCTGCAGAAGCCTCTCTTCCCGTCTCTTTGGCCGCCTTGGGTTCTAATGTCCCTAAGGTGTTTTTTTCTCAAGAGGCAACTGGACTTTCTGGTTTTCTTTGAAGACATTTTGCTTCTCATCCAAGAAGCTTCTTCAGCTCTGACTGGATGGTGGGGAAGGGAAGGATTGATTCTCCTTGCAGACAACTGGTCCTTTGCATCCTTTTAGGGGGTCCTTGAGGCCAGTTGGAGGTTTATTTGTGTCTTCTTTAAGACGTTTCGCTTCTCATCCAAGAAGCTTCTTCAGCTCTGGCTGGATGATGGAGAAGAGAAGGATTTATTCTCCTTGCAGACAACTGGTCATTTGCATCCTTTTAAAATTGTCATTGAGGCCACGGAGGTTTCTCTGTGTCCTCACAGTTGCCTGAGTAGAGTAAATGGTTCCCATAGTCTGCAGTTTTTTTCATTTTTTAAAAACATAAATATCATCCTTGCACCATTTCCACATCGCATCCATTATACTCCTTTTATCCATACATATATGCCTTTATATATCAATATTTATACGTATATATCTATTTTTATACATTTTCATCTACATATAGTTATTTATACTTATATTTCTTTTCTTCCTATTCTCTTTCCATGTACATATTTCTATACAATACATCCTTCTATGTACATACATTTTTTTATGCTTCTTATTCAGTACTATTTTATATACAATCTATCTTACATTTCCCTCCCCCCTCTTGTTAATTCTGCGGTTTTGTGATTATTTTCTAATTTCTTAATCTCTCCCCCCCCCTATTGCTTTCTTATTCTTTGTATCTTTCCTCTAGCCATTTGTACCATAAATTCCATACTTTCCATACTCTTTGCTTTTTATTTCTTTTGTGAATCTGTCCATTTCCTTTGGGCTTTCTCTCTCTCCAAGGAGCAGCTCTGGGTTAAAAGCCACATTATTGGGGGCCCTGAAGGACCTCCCAATAATTCGATGCTCTGGCCCAGGGGTCCCCAAACTTGGCAACTTTAAGACTTTTAGACTTCAGCTTGGCTGGAGAATTCTGGGAGTTGAAGTTCACAAGTCTTAAAAGTTGCCATGTTTGAAGACCTCTGCTCTAGCATTCGGAAGAAACAAACCTCGCGGTTGAAGCAAAGACTTGGAACGCCTTGCTGAGACCTCTAAAGCCCCTGGAGGGGGGGGTCCTCCAATATCTAAACTTCCCTGTTTTTTGTGTCCCACCTTCTCTCCTTGCAGAGTTCCCAGAGTTTATGGAATCGGCTTTCGGTCCTCCTGAACCTGCTTCCTTCAATGGCAGATCTGCAAGATTCAGGTAACCCTTGTGTGAAATTCTCTTTTTCTTCTTTCATTATTTCTCTCCCCCACCCTCCCCTCTGAATATGTATGTGAGAAAAATATCCCAGATATATTTTCTACATATCAAAAAAATGGCCAAGGAGACTATGATCAAAAAGCATCTAGTTTATTACACTTGCGCAAGTGGATTCCCACACAAATGAGAATAACTTACAAGGTACATAGGCGCACCTTATATGTTCTGACCCCCACCTTGTTCGTTCAGAAACGACAGCCACACACAGCTTGCAAAGGAATGTCTTTATCAATCCCGGCTCGAGCTGGCTGCGAGCCCCAAATAAACACAGATAAAAGGCTCTGGCAAAAGTAAACTACTGCAAAACAAGATTATATAAATCAAATCACTTATCCAAATGCTTCTTCTCGATGATTGCAAACAAACAGAGACTTGACTAGAACAGGAACGGAATGGAACGAACGAACGTTGACTTCTGCCACCAGGGCGTGGCACCATCAGTCATTTTATCTGCAGGAGGAGATCCTAACAAGCCACAGCTGCTCTTTGCATGCATCCCGAAACCACTCACAGGAGGTTTCTGCTGAGTTACAACATTTATATATTCAAAACGATGTATCAAATGTCTCATAACCTGGATACAAAAATACAGTTGCGTGCAAAAAGTACAATGTGAAAAATACATGGAAATTCCCCAAATGTTCCGAAAAAGGTACAGGTAAATTCCAGTAACATAAGTGTTCAGAAAGGCCCCAAAGACCTCGCTTTCCCAGAACTAAACAGTAAGATCATTACCGGCTTCCTGCAAAACATCTCTTGTTCCAACCCATCAGGCTATTTCCGGTCAGATCACTGTAACTTTCTGATTTTGCTCCAAGCGGTGATTTTCTAGAGTAACTTTCTGGCTAGTCAGATATTCAAGATGGAGTCTTATCGGGTTCCTCAAATAACCTCAACCAATTTACTCAAATAACTAGGATTTCATCCCTGTTCTCACAATGTATTTGCCTGTGTGTGTTGTGACCTGCCCTTCTCAGAAACAAGAAACAGACTTCCCCCACAAAGGGGGGGGAAAACCCCTCTTTATTTACACCTTGGGAATTAACGTATTTTTCGGACTATAAGACGCACTGTTGTATAAGACGTATAAGGCTTCAGCAGGTCTGAGGGAAGGCAAAAAAGCCTCCGTCTTTGGGAAAAATGGCCCGTTTTTCCACAAAAATGGGATGCAGTGGCGGGGCTTCGGAAGGCCAAAAATGTCTCTATTCGGTGTATAAGACACACCAACATTTCCACACTCTTTTAGGGGGGAAACATGCGTCATACTCCAAAAAATAGGGTAATTGCCTTCCCCAACATAGAGGCAAGACTCCCGCATGACATTAATTGAAGCAATAGTCTTTATCAGCTCGTTATGATCAATGCAAGGCTGTGAGCTCCCGCAAATGAAGTCAGTTCAAACAGAGAAATAGACAAACCTCAGTTCTGAAAGGGAATCTTTGTCGCACAAAACACACACACACGGTGCAGACTTTCCAGAAATGGTGACGTGGTTGTCTGTGACAACCACACCACTCCCCTTTCCTCCTATTTATTCCCCAGTCAGTGTCAGCGTCTGTTTTTGCTTCCCGAGCTGGCTCCTTGTCCTCCATTGTTCACCTCTCCTATCTGCTCTGCGCATACACGCATCTGCAACAGGTCCCAGCTGTTCCTCCTCACTCGCTTCTGACTCCAAAGTCAGCTGCCTCTTCTCTGGTGGCTGGGAAATGCCAGACGGCTCTGCCTCTATCTCTGTGTCCGACGCGGAATGAATGAAACTGTTAAAATTCAGAATTAAAAAGGGCCCCAGAGAGGCTTCAGGTTTTTCCTCCCTCTAGGCTCTGTGGTTGATGGACTCCCTTCATATAAAAAATGTGTCAACTCATAACGTTGCCATGGTGAGGAAAAAGGGGGGGGAGCTCATTCCACGCATACTTTCGGCTAGAGTCAGAGTAGTGCACCTCTTTGGAGAATGTGATTGATGACACAGATTGAGGGGAGGGAAGGAACGGGTGAAGTTCAGCTATAATTCAAATGAAGCTCAGATCTGACTGCAATAAGGTCTTGCCAAAACGGTGCTCCTAATAAATGATTGGTTTGCTTTTGAAACTTGGCTCGATGTTCAGGAATTAATTAGGGCATCTTTCGGAAACTTGACAGAATGATTGCAGGAACTGGGCCTGGCTAGTCTAGGGAAGAGAAGGACCAGGGGAGACAGGAGAGCATCTTCCAATAATTGAGGGGCTGCCACAGAGAGGAGGAAGGGGGTCAAGCTATTCGCCAAAGCACATGGAGGCAGGATGAGAAACAACGGATGGAAACTGATCAAGGAGAGATTCAACCTAGAAATGAAACATTTTTTGACAGTGAGAACAATCAACCAAAGGAACAGAAGTTGCCTTCGGAAGTTGTGGGAGCTTCATCCCTGGAGGCTTTCAAGAAGAGATTGGACTGCCCTCTGTCAGAAATGGTGTAGGGTCTCCTGCTTGGGCAGGGGGTTGCCTAGATCAGTGTTTTTCAACCTTGGCAACTTGAAGATGTCCGGACTTCAACTCCCAGAATCCCCCAGCCAGCATTCGCT